ATATCTCTTTTATTGTACGATATCTTTTGGATTATTTGGCGTAAAGTATGTAGAGTAATCGTCTTTCGGAAACCGGCTTGCTTGATGACTCTCGAAAACAAATTATAGAAATGACTCTTAAGCGATATAGGTCTTAAGATTTTTAATAGGGGTTTCTCCTTTTTTGAAAAACGTGACCACTATGCCCGTGTTCCACGCCTGAAGCGATTTACACTCGAGGATGATGGAATTGAATAGCCTCTGAAAGACTTCAAGCTTAGTTCTACCTCCAGTCTTCAGAATTTCGACAAACATAGTGGAACTATTGTACGTACATATCAATACTAGAGAGTATATGAGGTGGTTAATAGTGTACCGTAACAACGATATGAGAGAATGATACGCTACAAATTGACTTGTGGCGTAACTAAGAGGTGGCGAGACTGGAAAAATACTAGTGCTCAGACAAAAGGGTTCCGTTGGTCAGAGAGAGTTGTAAGAATAGCCGTCTGCTATTACACCATTTAATAAGAATATAGGCATAGTTGGGTACTGTATGAATATAACTTCCCTCGATATAAACATATAATATAGTTTTTATAAATAGCATATCAAGAAACGAATTCCACAAAAATCAGGGCTTTAAGTACAGTCAACAACACGTCAGATTATACAAATATTTCAAACGTGTCCACTAATTTCAAACCTTTATGCTTTCAGGGTGGAGTTTGAAATCAACTGCAGTTAGAGACGTGGTTACCTGATGTGCATGTAATTGACTGTTGTAAATATATTTAAAGTATTGTAGAAATGCAAAAAAAGAAATACTTTGAGAGATTTGATTGAAGATTTGAATTCGAAACACGAAACAGTCATGTATCCATTCCTGTTTTAAAAGATTTTCAAGTTTACATGCTGATGTTTGCATTGTACTAACGGTAAGTGTGAATATACCCACTCATTAAAATCGTTTAGATTCGCTACACGCTTTGAACGCATATTTAATTTATCATAATATAAATTCCATTCAATATAATATACTCTATAAATAAATATTTATTTAGATTAAATAAGCAGAATAAAATATATCGGCTCCTTACAAAATTTGAACACTGAACTAGATTTTGGTATAGACTTATATTGAAGAACAGAGTAACTAGTCCTTCGGCTGTTGTTCAGTTAGAAAGAAAGAGAAGATCGCGTTACCTTATCTATCTGTCTCCACTCGTACACATATATTTAATACGGAAAGGGAACATAGCAATAGGAGTCGAAGGTTAGGCAGTTAGTCAATAGCTGTCCTTTACTCACTTGTATGTTCCAGTAGCTATTCATAAGGTACCGGCATTTTCTTTCTCTTTCTAACCGAGAAACTTTTCTGATCAAAGACAGACGTATATCTTAATACTTCTATGGCAAGACATCCTGTATTTTTGGTTTAGATTTACAAGTTCCACGTAACTTGGCTGATTTGCAACCTTGAAGATGATTGAATGTTTTTACGATCTATATCTATTGAAATAACGTTATTACTATTACAATGTAATCCGATAGACCATAAACGACCTTGGCTGAAAGATACAGGAACTACGGAGATTTTTTGTGTTGTTTATTACCTACGTCATATAGGACAGATAATTATTTTAGTTCATAATATAGATAAGTGAGATCTATTATGATATTAGTTGACGTATCATCCCCTTATATTCTACATTATACCTTGCATTACGTTTAAGTTTTGGGAAGTAGACTGGAAAAATTGCATCCTATTTTTTATGTTATAATTATACATAAATGCATGCATGCCTATATGGAATTAAAAAACATATAATGAATAAGTGGGTTGTAGGAAATACCTACTATTTTAAATAATAATACCTGTTATTTTGAGAAATGGTTACGTTTTTTTAACTGATTTAAAACTCATTTTATGTAATGAGTGTTGTGCATGAAAATATAACAAATTATCAAGCTTATTAATAACTTTGTAAAGATATAATTGAATTAATAATTATGATAACGCAAACTGAAATAGTCATGTGTTGATAGGACTCGTAGTAAGTGCATATGGGTTTTCTTTTGTTTCTTTTTTCTTAAATAATGAATGACATTTATTTATCAGTATCCGAGCCAGATATTGTTCTATCTAAATTTTTATAAACTAAGGCATAGATTCTTCTTGTAATAAACTCACAAGAGACTTATTTCGTTTCCGTTCAGTTTCTCTACTTTTTCTTGATGACCTTTAAAATTTACGTATAGATAAAACCTGAAGATAAAAAAAATATTAAACAGAATGCCGTTTATTACACGCTACTTCGCTACTTTACAGATACAAGTTTAGTCTAGTTTTCCTAGTTTATCAAGAGATTCTTTTTTAGAAATAACATCAATTTCATTAATTAGTAGGTGATCCGGATGTTGTCTTACCAAAACTTAAAAATCGAACAAAAAATGTGTATTAAGGCCAAGAATACTTAGGTATGAAATTACATATACATTCCTAAACATTTTTTAGAGAATTTTTTCAACTTTCATCAGTAAAATCTAGTGATGTGCATACCAACGATCTCGAGTTAGTTTAGATATTATTTATAATATAGATTTTATGAAGGTTTGTTTGAAATAATCTATCTATAGTATGCCTACATAATACAAGAAATATAACTGTAAATGTTTTAGACTCAAAATCAAAAAATAATTTTTAGTAGTTGTTAAAATTCAATTAGTGGAACAATCGTGTTCTAACTAACCGAATGTAAGCGATCCATCATTTCTAATTGGTAATTAATGTAGTGGATTTACCACTATCGCGATAATAACAATCGAATATGACTCGACCGTTTTACTTATCAATTTAACCACGGTAGCAAAAACATAATAGTTTGATACATTCAAATATGACAATTCCTTAACAGCAATAGAATAAATCAATCTCTATTTATGTACCGTTCAAAGAAATAGCGGGATTTTTTATTCACTTCATTATAATTGCTTGTCATTGATAGTGTATCTGAATTATACTAGATTATATGTAGATTTATAAAAATAAATACATTTTTCTATATGCCTATCAATTAATAAGTGATCTATCATGTGACGTCATTTTCTAGTAAACTGCAATAGTTGCACATGAGAGGGGCCACTAGCATGATTAATGAAAATAAATATTTAAGTTATTTATTTAATAAAGAGCGATTGCGCGATATATATACATTTTTTAGATCAATGACAAGATTTTTGTTTCATGACTTTCAAAGTATTTTATTACAGAGAAAGAAAAATAAACAGTGATATTTAAGCCATTTTTGAATAACATAGACATACAAAAGTATTCTTAAGTTTTCTTGCTTTAGGTTAAAAATGCAACTTTTAGGATATATCAGTATATTTACTGATATATTCTAAAACGTAGTAATATGTCTTTTACAATATCATAAAATATCAAACTATTTTATAATCATGTAAATGACATTAAATTCTAATAAACATCAAAACAACAAAGATTCATTAATTTTTAGAAACGTAAAATATCTCTTTATAAAATAGGTACTAATTTAAACATTCGACCTTGCCATTGATAATACAGATGTCATATAAGTAAACTGACTTTGTGGCACAGATTATGAGTGACAAATAGTAGATGGTGTCATAATTACGATTTAGTTTTGTATATTTTAGAAATACTACACAAAATCCATTTTTTTTACTAAGTCAAAAGAAAATACGACCCATGTTACTCGTTGTTAATGTCAATCATCATCAGCCCTATTACGTCCCCACTGCAGGGGCTCAGGCCTTCCTTATGGATGGTTAAGGAGGATGGGCCATGACCCTCCACGCTGGCCCAATGCGGATTGGAGGGTATTAACGACTGCAAATGCAGCCGGAACCAACGGCTTAACGTGCCTTCCGAAGCACGAAGTAGCTCGAGATAATATTTTTTTGGTCACCCATCCCGTGACCGACCCTTGCGAAAGTTGCTTAACAACAACGATCGCGGGCCGCGGCGCTTATCCTCTACGCCACCAAGCTACTTGTTGTTGTTAATGTAAAGAATAAAAAATAATTTCCATAATTAACACGCAAAGCTATAAACAGATCAATGACATATTTATTACCTTACATAATTAAATTCACTTTTATCGCATCAAAAAATCGAAACGCATTGACGTCATAAACAATACGACAGAACAACCCAATAAATCTATGAGAACAATACATAAATTAGGTAGCGACATCTAATTTGATTTCGATAACTACTTTAATATTCAAAAATTCCTCATTCATTTTCAATAGCTACAGCAACTGTGTATTATTAGTTATATAATTAAGGTGTTGTATCTCGAAGTACAATTAAACGAATCAAACTATTTTAAGATACATCTATGCCAATATTATACAAAGTAAAGATTTTACCGAAAATACTTACCGATTTCAAAATTTATTAGGGTGGAGTGATGGGAAAATAGTTTATAATATTTATTATAAATCAATGTTTTGTTTGTTTACATAAAAATTGAATGGAAATAAGTTAGTATCTCTAATAGTATTGATGCGGAAAACGGTATCCGCTAAGTGGACAATGTAAACAGTACGTTTTTATACTATGATGTCACTTCAAAAGCAAAAGAAACTATTTAAATTCACCGTGTATCTTGTATTTAAAACTATATTATATTTGATGTACATTCATATATAAAGTACTGATCTGATCACAATTGAAGAATCATATTTTTCCGACAGATATGCAATGATATATTTACAATTTTAAATTAAGAGTGTTATATCCGAGAAAATTTTAGATAAAATAAATACTAATAACGTTGATTATTAAACTTGTACTGGGTGCACATAAGCTATGCAAATTGTAAAAAAATATTTATTATTATACGTATAATAAAACACAATACGCACAACTAAAAAATATAACAGCATCCTTAAAATGACAATAAAATATAAATTAAAAATTGTGAAACACTCAATATTTGACAGTTAAATTAATTAATAATTTTACATACCGTGACTCCAGCCTAATTGTAAGCCAACGACACATAATAAAATAAAACTCTTCATAATGACACAATATTGTATACACAGCGCGTTTGACCACAGTACGGTGCGTTCTAAGTGCGATCCTATGCCACAATAAATGCTTAGCACGTTATCAAGATTTAATATACTAGTTTACATGGTACGGTAAGAATCGTTTACGTTTATTTAAACTACTATTTCTCAATTATGATTGTTATTCTCTTATTGTTCATAGGCTACTCTTTGGTGAATAGTTTAATCGATCATTAAATTAATCGATTATAAATTAACCAATTAATACAGTTTGCACTTAAAACGTTAGCTATATTATAAAAAAGAAGGAAAAATAATTTTATTAAAAAAAAAAAGAAAATTGTTAAATGGGAATTTTAAATTATAAATTAATTTAGCTTTGTAATTATAATCTTTTGTGTAGCTTACAAATTAACACATCACAAATTATTGTGATCGAATAAATTGAAATAATAGATTCTTCTGCATTTGTCATTTTTTTATTAATTTAAGTTCTTCAATATTAGATACATTTATTACCTGTACATACTACAGTTAATTCTAGTATTAGCTGTTTTCCTGCTATATTTCTCGAGCAAATTATAACCCATGTTACTCGCGTATGATAAAGCTTCTCGTAAATGAAATAATCTTACAATGTTATACTGAGAAACATTTTTTAATAAAAAATCCTTAAAAAAACCACTTCATCCCTGGCACTCTGAGTTGGAAATTGAACCCATAGCATTTTTAAGCATTTTTCAGTATAACATTGTAAATATAAATTAATCAAATATATTTATTGATTCAATCGTTTCGCATCCTCTTCGTGCAAATAATATTAGTATAGAAATGAACTCAATTCACACATCATCTACTCAATAGGTTATATTTACAGCAACTATGTCAAAATTAAATATATTTATGAGTAAAGGTTATTTTAATAAATAAAAATATATATAAAATAATAAAAATAAAATTAATGATTATTTTAAGGATCGCAATGTATGGAATTAATAGCCTTCGCTTTATTCTATAACGACTAATATATGTACAACCTATGACCTACAGACTCTGAAAGTTGTATTTATTATTGTGATAATACATATTATTTTGGTAATGACACAATTTATGTAAAAGTCGTTACTTAGGATAAAGAACTGGTAAGTTTCTTTCGCTTATTCTTCTGGTAAGCTTAAAGACGTCCTGAACAAGTGGTAGAGGATAAAAATTTTTGGACGATTCAAAAGTGCTTGTAATAAGCTTACTTGAATAAAAATATTTTCATTTCACTTAATGCTCAGTCGTTTATTGCAAACTTCACTTCACCTGAGATTTCTAGGCAGGTGCTTAGAATTTACAAATATTATTAGTGATTTGGTATTTAACTGTATATGATTGATTTATTTACATATTTTACTGATTAATTATGACCGAATTAATTTTTTTCTGTCTCTAATCAAAGGAGTCTATAAGTAAAGTAAGTATAATAAGTATATGGCATATATGCACAAAACGGTCTTATTCAATTGCACTTTTAAACGTACAGAAGCTTTAGTGACATTAACCCCGGATGTTTACAACACGTGACTACTGTATAATAATCTAGTCTAATTTACCTAAGAACAAAATCGTGATCTCACAATCCTCACCATTAATTTAACTGAACTTAGCGATGAACAATTTTTTTTATATTATTTCATATTACTATAGTCATTTGTCTGCATGAACTTCAAATTAAAGCATCATTATCATCATTATATCAGCCATTCGGGATCCACTGCTCGGAATAGGCGTCCCCCAAAAAGATTATTTCATGACGATATTCAAACTTCTTTTGACGATGAGACATACTTTACGCATACCCGACCCGCCCCACCCCCCAGCGCGGATTGAAGAGGTTATCTGAGACTCTCCTGTCCCGAATCGCTCTAAAAAGGCCTATTCAAAATTCCATTCTATGGTAAGTGATATGTGAGGATACCTGAAATTTATTTCCCGCGCCGGTGACAATTCTAAACCTACGTTATGTTATGTTGAAAAATTTGTTGGTTTTAAAGAGAAGATTTTATATTCGACTGGTATATATTTTTTGATTATGTTCACCGATTTCTTCATGAATAGAAGACGGCCTTTTTTAAATTATTTTTATTCGAAAGCCCACGGTCCTGATATGCTTCCATAAATAATTTGATCTAAATCAAAATAATAAAATACTTTTAATGGTAATATTTTTTTATAGTAGTAATTATTCGTATTTCCTTGTTTTAACGACTATCTATAAGTAAGTAGTTCTCAGTTACTTGTTGTGTTGTTCGACTATACGTAATAGGTATACAAAAAAACTCCGCTAAACTTCTATAGATTATTTTCAATACCTAAAAGGAAAAAAAAAACATCATTTTTTCCCTATAGTTTAGTGTTAGTAAAAGATATTTACGAATATTTTTTTTTAAATATATAAGGTAAATAATAAAATTAAAAATTGATTCTAATATATTTTCATTATTATTTTAATAGTAGTGAACAAATTGTCGGTATAATGATGACGAAAACAACAGTCATCGATTTATTGATACTGTGTATATTATAATTAGTATCATGTTACAGACATCTTGTTTTATTTTTATCTCCGATGTTCCGCAACGAATACAATATTAAATTTTTCCTGTACATTTTTTTATGTCGGCATGTAAGCACTATTACTTGGTAAATTTTCAATGGTGTATATCTTCAAATTTATATTATGGATTTGTTTATATCACATAACGGAGTTGCATATTTATTGAATCATAATTATTATCGATTACTATATAATCTAAGTTCAAGAAGGTTATCGAAGATCAATATTTTGTTGCGTACGTACTTAGATTAAAGCTTCTTCTTCTTCTTCATTAGGGCGTCCTTTATATGAGATAAAAATATATATTTGAAATTATTTGTATTATATTTATTATTTTTTTAATATACACTATAAAAAAAGTTTGTTATATCAAACAATATTGTGATATATGTGACCAAGCATCTTGTTTCCATATGAGCCTGATAAGATGTTAAATACATTAAATAAGATGGTTTTTATTATTTTTTACTATAAGTTACTTTGTTAAGATAATTAGGATTTCATTCCATTTGATCATTATAAATAACTTTAGCAACTACCTCCTGGCCTTCAATTTAAATAAGATGTTAGTCGATTTGTCTATGATATGTGACTGTATGAACAATTTGCCACAGTTGATTCAACCAAGAGGTTGGTAAAAATTAACATGAAACGTGGCTAAACTAATCAATTCACGAAAGTTAATTTGACCAAAGAATTGGTCACTTTAACCAAGAAATATGATTGTACTTGCCAATTTACCTTAGTTCTTTCAACCGATAGGTTAGTCAATATTAGCATGAAACATCGTTGTTCTAACCAATTTACCGAAGTTAATTCAACCAATATGTTGGTCGATATTAATATAAAACTTGGTTGTTCCAAACAATTTACCGAAGTTAATTCGGCCAAAAGATCGGCATGAGATATGATTATACTAACCAATTTACCAATGGTAATTCAACCAAGAGAACCAACCACTTTAGCCATTTGATCATTCTGAACCTTTGGTCCAAAGCGATTGAGACTTTAAACTCAGACCAAAGCACAGAGCCTAGCCTATGAGCTAAGGTAAATAACTGGAATGGTTGGTTTCAAATCCCATATTATAAGATCACTTTAAACGGCATATTACTTATACAATCTGACAATATAAACTGATACCGCGATGTATTAAATGAACAACGCCATCTAGTTTGCAGACTTAGAACTATTCGGGAACCTATGAATATGATGGGCATGTTACATATAAGTATCTTTTCATATCAATATTCAAACAATATTGTCGCAAACTTGAAACTTCATATTTACCATAACAATATTGCATCGACATTGTCACAAACTTGCCTCATCATATTTAACACTGGCGTGTAAGGTTGTCAAATAATTACAGCTGATTTAATTTTATTTTAAATTAAACATTTCCCGATATTTATTAATATAAGTTTTGCGAAAGTGAAAACAAAGTCTTAAGTGTTGATAATTGATCTTACTGTGTAAATATAATCGCAAACATTCAAATGATCGTGCCAGACTAATATGTAACGGCTATCTGTCGGATAAAGTAAAGACGAATGACTAAAAAAAAAAAATCTAAAATCTATCAAGGAAAGGTATAAAACTGTGGTCTGCTGAATCATAAACCAGTCTTTAACAAAAGAAAAGTGATTTTTGATTGAAAAGTGAATTTGATAATTTTGTGTGGATTGATTTAACAAATTCACTCTTTGTTGGCACTCGCTTTTCTTAGTTGATTCATGTAATACAGTTTTTAAACCAATTACAATTTGATAATTATTTTAGCAAATACATTCATGTAGTATGAACATTTTAATTTTAGTTAGTCCAATAATGTCAAGTAGTTACCATTAATCATTAATGTTTTTGAATTGACTAAATAGTCTTTGTTGTTTGAAAAACCAAGGGCTTTCTCTGGTTTTATTAACGTTCTTTGTTAAATCAAATACGAGAAACTTATTACTGCAACAATAAAAATCGTTTAATCTATTACTTTACCTATTTATTTGGATAAATTTGTATTAATTGCTTAAACATACTTAGTCGTTAAGTTTAACTATTAAAAATAATTGATTCACACAAAAAAATCCAGTAATGATAGATACGATAAATCTATTTGATAGAATTAATCAGGGTAGTCAAATTTTTAATTTAATCATACTTTAACTTGTTGTTTCAATGTTGCAGCTTTGATTGATTTATGTAAATAAGTAATTGTTTTATTCAATATTATGTCAACCAAGAGAAAATCGCTTTTTGTTGGCCTCCATTTTTTAGAGTGTACCTAAACATAAATAAATATGAAATTTTAACTTTTTAGCATGAAAAAATCTTTAGTTAGCTATAAAATTGATATTATTAGGTAGGACTTGAACCCACGAGTTTTTGCCATTCGGGCGAAATTGCAAGTCGTTGGTCCCATCTCAAAGTACCTGGGTCTGACGATTGGCGGTTTTTTTAAGCACTTTTCATTAAGAATATTTTCCAGTAGGTATATCATTGTGAATGAATAATTGACCTTTTAAT